TGGGTGCTACATAAAATATATATATTTTTATATATTTTTTTGGCTATTACATTCACAAGTCAAATATTTCTGGTAATTATACCGTTTACTCTCAACCCTGACAAATATCAAAGTTTTCTCCAGTTATTACCGTAATAAAAAAAAATAGCAACAAAAAAAAAAGAGAAAAGCTGTAGTTTGTTTATAGTAGATGAGAAAAGGCTCCCCTTATGTGACATAAAACTGGCAAAATTACCTTAAAACTGGGATGATGGTGGTCTGTGGTGATGAGTTAGGTTTGCTGATATCAGATCGGTTCCTCATGTCATATCTATACCAAGCCCTCCAAGTTGTAATTCCATTCCTGTTAGTTGTCCATTGTGGAGAAGGCTCCCTGTAAATGAACAAAATCAGAGGGATAAATATGTTTTTCAAAGTGTCTAATAAAGTGCAAAGGTTATCAAAGTCAGCTTGACAAAAAAGACAATTAGGCAAACTTATAAAATCTCATATGTAAAAACATTAGATTTAAAATTTCTTCAGGTAAAAATGTACAGGTCTAAATATTGCATGAAGTTTAGGTTCACTCACCAATAAGAGGATGAATAAATAGAACCACTTGAGCCTCTCCAGGTACGCTGCTTCTGACACCATTCACCTCTGCTTTCATCAATCTTTATACAGCTGCTGCCACAATACCCAAAGGAATCAACCTCCTCACATGAACTGAAGCTATACGTGCGTCGATAGGTCACCTGAAAATATTAAATGAAGAGATCAATATTTTTTGTAATTAACCAAACTATTTTTGTAATGCAGAAAAATAAAGAAGAAAAAAAGAAATAACTTACTGGAAATCTGTCATCCACTAAATCTTTCGTAGTATAGGTAAAAACAGAACCATAATAAGCTGCTTCAGTGCCGCTGATTAACAGCAGCAGCACAGAGAGGAACATGATGAATGACTGAATGTCTGACAAAGTTTAGACACGAGTGAATTTATATCTTTGCAGACAGACTCTCTTTCATTCCCTCTTTGTTTTATTTTGTTTTTTATTATTTTATGATTAGTTACATTAAGGAAGAAGAGTTTATTTGGAAATGCAAATGTCTGCTGGCAGAGATGATGCATTTAGGTGGGAAAAAAAAGTCCTATAAATATGGAAACTTTTGACAAAAAAAGAAAAAAATAAGTTTGCTAAAGTTAAATACATAGTTTCATTGTTTTATAATCTGATTCTAACCTGAGTTACTAAATAGTCTGAACTGATGAATGGATACCTATTTTAACCATGGCTCTGTTTGAATTCATTAGATGCTTCCTCAGAAGGCCAGATTCGAAGGACGATTACGTCATAGCGCGGCACCGAGGTCTGGTCGGATTCCAAGACTCCTCGTTATGCGGCCTTAAAATGCGTCCTTCTTTTTGCCCGATTGAAAGGATGGGTCCAATGTATCTTTGCTATCCTTGGATATCCCAGGATGCATTGCGAGACCAAGCAAGCCGGCTGCTCCCTGATCAGAGAAAAGGTTACTTGGCGCTAAACAGTGGTGAATATTGGAAGTTCAGTTTAATATAATGCAAGTATATAAATAGTTTCATCTGAAATTCATGAAAATAGTTGTTTTAATGGTTATTGAGTCAGATATGAGGCGGTAATGTTTGGTTTATCTAAAGGTTTTTATCTGTTACTGATTAAATGGGTTTGGCTGTAATTTAAGGACAGATTCTAATATATCTGCAGGGTGGGGACTATAAATCTGATAGGAGTATAATCTTTTTTATTGCTGTTTTGCACAATATGCGTAACTAAGTATTTTTTGTTGTTGAATATTAGAGATTTTGAAGATCTGGATTCACAGGTGTGTAGTCTTAGTTCATTTTACAATAAAAAATAAATAAACAAACAGTTTTGAAAACTTCAGTATTCATTCTCTTCCTGTTTTGTGTGTCAACTGTCACTGTCACCCCCTGAAGGCTAGACCTGTTCGAATTCGCAACCAAAACTCTTCCGGTCTCTTTATTTTCACGGCCTTCGAAGGATCCAGTCTAGGTAGACCGCGTCCTAGGAGGATGCAGCTCATGAATTGGAACAGAGCCCTTATTTCCTGATTTTCTCATTATATGGAAATATCTTGTGTTTAATATATTAATTTTACAGCACTACACTTTAATGCCACTAAAAAAGAAACTTCTTTGCTGAGTTTTCTATGGTTTGAATAGATGAAAATTGTCAGATTCAATCATTTTTCTTCCTGCTTGTTTTCATGCCATTTATTTAGGTTGAAACTAAACTAAATTTAAAGTTGACATTTGCTCTGAACCTGCAACTTTTCATTTGCCAGTTTTGTCTTCAAGTCTTTTCTATACTGAGAACAAATCAAACCTCTAAATGCAAACATCAATATTCTAATTAAAATCTCTCTAACTTCCAAACGGTGCATGCTGAGCAGGTAAAATAAATATCACTCACATCATTGTTGTTTTTCTTTAGTAAAGGGATGATAAACATGCATCATTTTGTTTTATTTAAAGTTATCCTTCTTGATATCAGCTGCTGTGCAGAAACCTCCATTCTCTATCAATGCACACACTGTCCTGCTGCTTTCACTGACTCCCTCGCATCACATTGACAGTGTTGGTTTCAACATTAGTTTGAATAAATGTATATTCTATAAATCCTATAAGAGGTGTCTCTTCTTTGTTTATGGCCTTTGAGACAGGTTATAATTTCTTCAAACTGTTTAATGTTTGTCTCATCAAACCAGCATATTTTCATTATTTCATTAGACCTGTCATAGACCTTCAGGGGCCTTTTGGTAAACCCCAGAGGAGCTGACATGTGCCTGTTATTAGGGAGAGTCTTTCTTGTTCCTCTCCCCCATTAAGGCCTGATCAGTGGATTGATGCAGATGATTTTTCATCTGGAAGGTTCTCCTCT